ACCATCATGGCAAGAATCACCCGTTTTCTCTTTGCGACCAGTCAGAGCCTTACTTGAAGCCACACGAAGGCTGCTGTCACTAAGTCATGGTGCTGTCACCATCGGTGAGGGTCTCTTTGGGGTTTTTTTGTTTGATTTTTATTTTTTGTTTTTATTGAAGTGCCATCAGTTACAATGTGTCAGTTTCTGGCGTACAGCACAGTGTCCCCAGTCATACATATACGTACATGTATTCATTTTCATATTCTTTTTCATTAAATGTTATTACAAGATATTGAACATACCTCCTTGTGCTATACCGAAGAAATTTTTAAAGTCTATTTTCATATAGTGGCTAACATTTGTAAATCTCAAACTCCCCAGTTTATCCCCTCTCACCCCTTTTCCCCTGATAACCGTAAGATTGTTTACTAAGTCTGTGAGTCTGTTTTTGTTTTGTAGATGAGTTCATAGTGTCCTTTTTTTTCCCTTTCCTTTTTTTAGATTCCACATATGAGGGATATCATATGGTATTTTTGTTTCTCTGTCTGGCTTATTTCATTTCAAATGATCTCCAGGTCCATCCATGTTGCTGCAGATGACATTATTTTATTTTTTGTGGCTGAGTAGTATTCCGTTACACACACACACACACACACACACACACACACACCCCACACCTTCTGTATCCAGTCATCTGTCGATGGATATTTAGGCTGTTTTCATGTCTTGGCTATTGTAAATAGTGCTCTATGAGCACTAGGGTGCATGCATCTTTTCAAATTAGAGTTTCCTCCAGATATATGCCCAGGAGCAGGATTGCTGGATCATATGATAAGTCTATTTTTAGTCTTTTGGGAAATCTCCATACTGTTTTCCACAGTGGCTGCACCAACCTGCATTCCCACCAGCAGTGTAGGAGGGTTCCCTTTCCCCACAGCCTCTCCAGCATTTATCATTCATGGACTTTTGAATGATGGCCTTTCTGACTGGTGTGAGGTGATACCTCATGGTAGTTTTGATTTGCATTTCTCTGATAATTAGCGATATTGAGCATTTTTTCGTGTGCCTATTGGTCATTCATATGTTTTCACCAGAGAACTGCTTGTTTAGGTTTTCTGCCCATTTTGGGATTAGGTTGGGTTTTTGTTACTAAGTTGTGTGGGCCGTTGGGTGAGGGTCTCTTTGAAAGGTGTTTTCTCACGCAGCATCCTCTTACTCAAGTTCAGTTTAATCAAGCTATGGAACTTGCCAGAGTTATCCTCTATAGGACGGCTAACAAGTTGGTGCTTACATGATCCCCAAGAATCTTATGTTCTATAATCTAGAATATTTCAGAGAAAAATTCCTTCCTAGCCCCCAAGTCACCAATCACCTGCCCCCTTGTGTGTGGAAGAGGCTGCCTGGTGGCTTGTCCTGTGGTTAAGTCTGCAGTTGTCGGTCGTGTGCAGAGTGTGGGGCCGGCGGGGAGTATGACGCCCGTCTGCACGCCTGTCGTCTGCTGCACACTCCGGGCTGCCCCTTGAGGGCTCACAGAGGCTCTGTTGAGAGTAGACATTGGGCCATGCCAGCGGCATAAAGACGGGAAGTTTCTTGGCCAAGTCACATCAGAGGCAACCATGTTCTCTCCTCTTGACATAACATTGCGACCGTCGCACACACTGTCACAGTCTTATTTCCGAGGGACTTCCACCCCAACCAGGTCCTCAGGTTTCAAAGGAGACGGCTTGGCAGACTCGAGCTAAAATGTCAGAGGCAATTGGATGATGTCCTAGATTCCGTTTCTGACACGCCAGGATACGTCGTGAGCTCTTGTATTTTGTGTCCGTGTGTTTCTCCCGGTAGCTCAGAGCTGCCCTGGGCCCCCACGGGGGAGATGGCGTGATGCGCTCATCAGTCGCTGGTGGAGGGTGTGGCTCGGTGGTGGAGCGTGAGCTTGAGGTCCTGGGTTCAGTCCCCAGTGCCTCCTCTAAGATAAATAAATAAGTAAACCTAATCACCTCCCCCTGCAAATAATAATAATAATAATAATAATAATAATAATAATAATAAATGAAGACAATTTTTAAAAAATGAACTCATCAGTAGCTGAAGGACACGTACGTGGGGGGTGGTAGTTTCTGCCTCTTAAATGAGAAGTAAGTAACCATGTGAAAGTTTGGTCATTTAAACGTGGGACGTGGAAGAGAACGATCTTGACGGTTGTGCAGATGACTTAACAGGAACTGGATTGACCTTAAAAATGAAGAAATCTGAGCAGAGGATTATTCGCCAGGGCTGGCCTGTATCAGATAGCTAGCCCACGCCTGACGTGTTGTTACGCTCATTTCAGAGGCTACGGAAGAAAAATGTGACTTCTCTCCTGGAATGACTTATGCCATCACTGAGGAGACAAACAGATGTGAAATCGCGAGCACGTTAAGACAGTGATTAAATGCCTGATGGTGAACGTGGGGTGCCAAGGAGACTGGA